TTCCAACCCAAAGAATTTTATGATCTCCTTCCCCATTGATTCTGGTAATGGAAAAGATTGACTTCTACATTTTTTAGTAGGGCTATCAAACCCAACTGAGCTTTGATAAGCCAGGTTACCGTGTGAAGTGATTTAGGCAACTGAGCTGATCACTGGAAGTGCCAATCTTCAGTATAGACGTTGGCAAAAAGTAGCTATAATTGATAATTTCTTCTTATAACACTGCTGGATCTGAGAAGGAAATCTGCCTGTGATCTCAGGAGTATGGAAAGTTATTGAGCTTCAGTTTCAGTCTCCATGGATGTAGAGGTGCCCTTGATTTCAAATTCAAAAAAGTATTCATTAAGATGTGAACATAGTTATTACTTTCTCAGTTGTGGGAATTTGGGATGTTAATTTTAATTTGAGTCAGTCTGTATCCCCTTGTCAGGTATCTTAAAATAGCACTTCACTTAGCATTCAACTCATCTTTGATACAACTTTTTCTATCTTTACATGGAAATCCAAATATGTGCATATTATTTGGTTTATTAGTTTTCCTATACATGTATAAATCATTGTAATATCAGTTTAGTGTGGGTTGTGGTATCTTTTGGTGCAGCTGAGGACATCGTAGATAGATTCAGTCATTAGATGGAATGCTTTTTCAGTCTCTTCCTTTTCTTCCATTTCAGAAAATTGTTTTTTGTAATCATGTCCTGCAAAACATTGTTTTCCCGGTTTGTTTTCTTGGTACAATATGTAGGCCCCATTAAGAGGTTAACAGTGTAGTAATTTTTAGTCAGGGAGCTTAGAATTATTGTAATAACTTATGAACTAATCACTGCTGTATTCTGTTTCAGGGCATTATTACTTAGGCACTAATGCACATTTCAGCTAAAAGAAATTCAATTCGGTGTGATTTTTCTATGCAAATTTATATGTAAATTTAAACCTGAAACTTACTGCCCTATTAGCTTCTGATATTAAATGTCCTGTGCAAATTTTTTTCTTCTATTTAATTTCCTGTACTGCAATAGTAATAAGAATGGATTCCTTGCTAAGGAAGTTTTACAAATATGTAATTTGCTTAAGGTGTTTAGTCCTAAATTTCAAGCAGTTCAATTTGCAGTTCTGATAGACTTTACTGCTGATGAACAGTTGGTGCCTTTTTGAAGCTGATATTTTGTAACACAAAATATACCAAGGAAAATGGGGAAATACAGTATCAGGATAATATCTATGCTGTAGTTGTCTAGCCTCATAACCTTACATAGAAAAAAGAGAGTTATATTGGCAATTCATTCACATCTCAGAGAGAAAAAAAAGCCCACCAAAACCAAACCAAACCAAAACAAACCCAAAAACAACCCAGAAACAAAAACCAAAAAGGGAGCTTGTACAGTGAGGGAGATGGTTCACTTCACAAAGATCTTCTCCATTAACTTAGGAGTGACGAGGGGGCTGCAGGACTGAGCCCCTCGGGTCAGAGGAGTCAGGAGCTCCGTGTGTGAGTGATGAGTGCCAGGAAGGCTCAGCTGAGCGTGGATGTGCCTGTCTGGGATGGCAGAGTGTGTGCAGAAAAGGGCAGTGAGGTGTGACTTGGGGGCACCTTGCACCAAGCAGTTCAAGAGCCAGAACTGGTTTCTAGATGTAGTTTGACCAAACTGGGCTGAGCTCTGTTCAGCATGGCCCTGAAACTCTGTCAGCAGCTGCTGCTGCTCTACTCACTTGAGCCTCTTTTGTTCCAAGAAACAGAAATGAGTTAATAATGAGAATACAGCAGGAGACTCTAACTCCTACTACTGACACAGAGACACTGATAGGGATGTTGAAAGCTCTGATCATTTTGAGTCTATGGAAGAGAAAGGGCCAAGATCTGTTTTTTCAACAATATTGCCACCATTCCAAGTTCAGTCCTTGAGTGAGCAGCATTCCTGCTTGTCAAGTGCAGCCCAGAGAAAGAGGGCACTTGCTACTTGTCCATCTAGAGGAACCATGATTTGGACAAGGACCTACAAAGGGAAGAATTTCTGCTGCATTATCTCACCAGGCCTATAAAAATAACTTTATTGCAGCTTACTCAACTTGAAAATTTGCTTCTATAGCCACAGCCTGGCAGACTCGGGAGCAAATACAAATGCTTTCACCTCAAGGTCTATAGAATGAAAAAGTTTCAAACAATGTGGAATGAATGCCATCTCCTTAATGAAACTGGATTTTAACTGAAAACAATTATTCTAAATTAGAATTGCAGTCAGTATCTTAGACACTTTGGCCAGGCAGTGCTTTTATTGACACCTGCTGATGGTGAGAATAGGATTATTACTGAAGATGGAACACACAGAATTTTTATGTACAATAATTGTAGAATGTGTTCATCTTCCTGCAAATTACCTTTCTGAACTTAGAAGAGGATCAGTTCAGTGCAGTGTATACATTAATAAAAGTAAAATTGCATATTATGGACTTAAATAAATTAGCTCCAGTTGCTCAAAGAAGGAAATAGAGAAAACTATGATGAGAAAGTCTTTGGCATAAAATATGGCAGGAAAATATTTCAGCAAACAAGTATAATATCACAAATTATCATTTGCTGATGGTGAGCATCTTTTGAAACAGAGTCTGGTTTACAAAGTATTAAACCCATGCACAGACTTAAGCTGTTAATGTAGGATCGAGTGTTAGCAGTTGACTTTTTTTTCAATTTCCATAGAGAATAAATGTTTTCTCATATTGGCATTTAATTTTATTCAATTTTAACTTTGGTGAGATTATTTTAAATAACCTGCACTAGACAAGAAGTGGGTAATTGAAAGTTCTAAAGGAATAATAGCATGACATATTGCACAAAAGTGGCTCTACTTTGGCAACTGGCAGCCTTGATATAAGAAATGTTTGAGGAAAGTTATTAATTTTCTTCTTTTCTCAACTTTTACATTTCTGCTCTGTCAAAATGTTTATAAAATACTGAGCACTGAAATGTGGAACTAAATTAATGACTATAAATACATTTGAAAATTGCCTGTGATGTTCTTCTTTCACATTCTGTCTGATAAAATGGTACTTTCAAGAAAAATAATACTCTTAGTAATTGCATGAGCGTTTTGTTATTTATCCTAGTTCTATGCCTCCATAATAATCCAATAAGGCCTAGAAATGTAAAAAAAATTCTGGTAAACATACATCTGCTCTTATTACCATCTATGAAGTAGCAGATTATTGAAATGTGTATGGCAATTCCAGGCAAATTTCCTGAGAAATTCCAGGGAAATACATAATCTTAAGCATTCATTTTATACTGGCAATAGAGCAGTGTTTTATGATAATACTGGCAATGTAAGCTTTCCTTTGTGTACAAGATTAAAAAGATTTCTATGGTAGTTGCTGCTTTTTTCCTAAATCAGGTGTCCTATATTTCCTTTTTACTGTAAAAGTATTTCTTCAACACAGTATGTAGATGGTTTACTATAAAATTGTTATGAAGCCTTTGGCAATAAAATGGTAGATAGATTTAGAAACTTGTTTACACCAGTAAAAACTATTAATCTGAGCTTTAAAATATTTTATGGCAAATTTAAATCCCATTTTACTGATGCAAGGCACTTAAATGATTTAAATTGTTGGTGTAGTCTTGCCATCTGTAGAACATTAAATGTGTTTTATGTATATTCCAGTAGTCATTGTCTATAAATGGAAATATATAGAAATTTACCAAATCATAGGCAGGCTGAAATCAGTGTGAGGCAGCTCTGTGTGGGGTCATAAAAGTATTTCATATTCATTTTTAGTGTGTTATTAATTTTAATAGGCATTTTATATTTTCCTCCTTTCGTATTGCAACTTGAATTATTTACTTTTTAAAAAACGTTTGTGGAATAATTTTGCTGTGAGAAACAAGTCACTATATGTAAAAAAAAAAGCCAAACTGAAATGCATTTTGAAATAAACTGCTTGGTTAGAGCAAAGAAGAGGGACCAAAATAAGAGTAGACATAAATATAAGTACAGAGAAATAAAGACATATCTTTATTTTTGGATTTTGTGTATTTTCTATGGATGAATATATATAAATAGAACATATGTATTTTAAACTGCAGGTATGCCTCCTGGATTATCACAGTGTGCTGCCTTCATAAGTATATTCCTTCTGGTCTATTCAAAGTGCTTTGTTTTATAAAGTGTGTTGGCATTAATGCACACAGGGCACATAGGATGAATTGACTCCATTTCTAACCTTACAGCAAAGGGAACTCTGCTGAAATGGAGTAGCTGTGCAGAGTGAGCTGTCTCTGCCCAATTCCTGCTCATCCTAAAAGTGATCCACGTGTAAAATATGGATATTTATCTGATGAGGCCATATTTTGGCTCTGTTTTATTACAGTAACAGGAGATTTTTATGCATCTTTAATAGTATCAATGTTTTCCAGGTGATGAAGGAAAGATGATCCTTCCCTTAGACTTTAAACAAAGATGTGGAGATCACTAGTGAGGGAAATGGCCTGAAGGAGCAAGAGAGGGAATATTTATTGGGGTGGTGTTGTTTTAATGTCAAGTATTGTGATGTAATTTATAAATTAAAGGAACAGATCCAGCAGAATTCAGCCTAATTGTCTGCCCCCTTTTGAAGTGGATATTTCCAATTATCTGTGCTTGGCTGTTAGGAGACATTTTGGAGTTTTACCTGCTTGGGATGACAGCAGATGGGCTTGAAAGGTGTATTTTGGCAAGCCTTGGACATATCTTGGAAGGTGGACTGTTAGAATGCAGACCAGCCAGGAAGATTTGAGCTTTTCCGTATATATGGAATTAAAGAATTTACAATTGGAAGATTGTCTGCAATGTTTCTTGTTGCAACTTGACTTTTCTTTGGGTTGGTTCACACATCAAACAAAGGTGCAGCCTGAGTTTGCATAAGTGTCAGCAATGAATAAGCACTTTACACTTGTTTGAGAAATATCTTTTACATGTAATAGATCATAATTAATTTTGTGATTTTGGTTTTTAAAAAATTCTTTCTAGGATACTGTTGGAATTAATATTCCCATCACTAATCCTACCAATAAAGTTCTCAAGATGAGTGTGCTGCTGGACCATCCATCCCTTTTTGGAGAAAAATCTTTCATTCTCAAGCCCAAACAAACATTTTCATATCACCTACAGTTTTCTGCAGCTAATCTTGGCTCTTTTGCTGGAAGGTATGTTGTAGAGTTTTGATACTTGTGACTCTGACTGTTTTCCTAATAAATGAACTACTTTCATTGAAACCTAAGTCACTTGATGAAAATGTTGCCCTAAAAACTCCCACAAAAGTTAATAAATGGGATTAAGAAAATTTCCAGCTTTAAATGTATTATGTCCCTAACAGCGGCTTTCGTCACAGAGAAAAAGCATCATTGACAGGCAATAGAATAACTCCTTATTATTCCAGTTCACTACAATTTAGTCAACAATGTTCTAGAAACTTACTTAATGTTAGAAACCTCCCTTGAAAACTTCATATTAATAGTTTTGTAAATTTTTACGTTCTGTAAAGGGACTAGCACAATTTCATTTTTTTTTCTGAGAAGGAACAAAATTGTAAAAACATAACTAAAGCAGGTGGAGAACCCTTTAACTCTGTTCACATAAATCCATTTACCTTCATGATCTTCCATTACTTAACCATGATCTACTAAATTAATATGGAAAGGTTTTAAATTAAAAATTTTTCATTACATTGGAAATCCCATTGAATTTCTAGGTATGATAATTAGCAATAAAAAGACAGATGACCTCTTGGTCTTAATTTCAGTTAAAACAGTTCAGCAAGTAATTGAGCAGTGTAGAATTGCAAAGCTTATTTTCCTGGAATTTGGTACCAAAGCATTATTTAGTCTGAAGGCTGATTGAAAAACAATTCCCTGTTTTTCAGTTATTTCAACTGACTGGCAAAAATATGGAGAAGATATGGGTGGAGGGTGGGATGGTGATTTAAGAGAAGGGCAGAGACATCAGTTTTGAAAGAACATTTACAAAGTCCAAATCCATCAGAGATTTATTCAATTTGCTTGTATTGATTTTTCCAAAGACCAGAATAATGTCAGGTATCATTGTGTAATACAGATTCAAATAATACTGTTTTATAAAAATGAGTGCTGTTATAACTCTAGTAAGTTGTTTTTTTTTTTTTTAATTCTTTCTGTGGGAATTTGTAGAAATTATGCTGTCTTAAACTGCAGATGAGAATAGAGCTCATCTCTTTTTTCATACCAGATAATATTTCTGGTATTCCTCAAGTGCAGAATTTCCAAACAATAAGATAAAGGTTTGCTTTAACAGGACAAAACTTTGGACTCAGCTTTGGTGGGCTAGGGCTTAGGGAATATATGCAGAGATGAAATAAAGCACATGTGGACATTCTCCAAATGGTTTTGCAGTTTTGTTCTAGAAGTGTGTAATAGCTCTTTTAAATTGCAATAGCTCCCACAGACTGCAGTTACAGGTGAACAGAGGTACTTCCACATTACATCCACACTATTAACTTCTCTTTCTGAGGCCATGGTCTGCTTCCTTTGCTATGTTGCAGCTGGGAAGGGCTGTTGGAAAAGGGATTGTGGCATGTGTATCTTTTCAAATGGTTGATTCTTTCCTAGAGCTGTTTTATGCTCACTTTAAAAGCTCTGTTGGCACAGGGGATGGTCTGGAACCATAAAGTCATGGAATAGACATAGTTATCTATAGTTTAGAAAAAAACCTCATCCTTAGAGGGTCATGGGTTTGTACAGTGCATTTCTTCTAAGTTTTTATATGCTTCCAGTGCTTTGGTTTAATATTATTATGACTCAGCTACTCAAAAAAATCATCAAGAAATAGAAAAGAAATTCTGCAGTAGGAAAGGACTGTATTAGAATGTCTGTAACTGAAATATATTGCTGTACATATCTCACCTAGCAGCAAGCAATTCTCAGTCATGACAATCCTTGATTGTATATCAAAACAATATATTGAATATTTCTTGAAGTGTGTCTCTTTGCCATGCTCATGGGAATGTGTCTATATCTATTCCTCAGTTTTTATCACTAGATTTGAAAATATTTTCCTTTTTAAAATTAGTGTATAGTATTTCTGTTACTTTGCCTTTCAAAATTACTAAAAAGAAAATACTATGATATTGAAATGAAATGAAAGCTTACTCTTATAAGCTGAAATACGTTTGAGTTGTATTTTTGATAAAAGCAAGCTAGCAAACAATAAACTACAAGCAACGAATGAATTTTATTAGTAGAATTTAAGAAAGATAAAGAAGAGATTTTCTTGCATCACTAATTCTAAATATTATTAGACTTGGTAGCTGAATTCAGATACCAGTGAGAAGTGTTAAAGTATAATTTAAGTAAAGAATTCACTGTGTTGAGCTCATTTGGTTTTCCCTGAATTTTAATCTGTTTGGGGTTTTTTAATGATCTGAAAAACACAGCTGTCATACTAAGCTTATGTATCTGTTTTTAGTGTCATGTTCCGCTCAGATGTGGTTGGAGAATTTTGGTATGCCCTGAAGTTCAATGTAGAGAAGCCATCGCCAGTTGTGCTACCTGATATAGGATGTGAGCTTGGAAAGTGAGTGAGTAGTTCATAGTGCTGGACTGGGACACTGCTTTTAAGTACCATGGAAAACATATGAAGAGTTTAAACTCAGAATAGTGCTCTATGTCTGCAGTACTAGCTTGCAGAATATTTTTTTAGATATATTTGCAGGTAGGTGAAATATTCCTTGCAGAAAAAAGATTGCAATTAATTTTTAGCCTCTACGTAAACTTTCTCTGAACTTTTTATGTAGAAATCACTCTGACAATACTGCAGAATGTAAGCACCAAGATCCATTATACAGAGCTCTGTAAGTTTGCTTTATTTTCTGTTTATTTTCTTCTCTCTGAACTAAGAATTTAATGACAATCCTGCTTTACAAATGCTTGTATTCCAGTTAGCAATATCTTTTAACCTCCCAAGAAATGGAAAAATAATGCAACTTCTGTCCTGCACTTCGTGGGGGTAGACATGGTTGAAACACTGCAAGTGTTAAGAAAATGAATGCCTTAGAGAAATCAACCCAATTATTACCATCCTTCAACAAAATTTCAATGTGCATTTTGATAGCATAATGTTCAGTTCACTTCTGACTTTCAAGACATAAACTAAAACTTTGAGTACAAGACTTTGAAGAATGTCAAAATTTCAGTAGTGCTTTTCACATATTATCTCCACTTCCTGATAATTTCTGTGGACACACTGCTCTTCTGCATGCTAAATTCCACTTACTTCTGTGTATCTTTGACTAAATCTGTAGTTAATATACAATACAGACTGAGCAGAAATGTTATTAGAGAGCACAGCATGAAATTTTACCTGGTTAAATTTTTGTGAGTGAATATATTCTGCTGTTCAAATACGATGCACAGACTTGAGGTAACTGACAATGCCTTTGTTATTATGTTCTAAAGAAAAAAAGTTGTGCTATTTCCTGGCTTTTTACTTTACTTTAAAATTCTGTGCTGACTGGAGTAAAAACCATAATTTTTCTCTACTATGTAGGGTATTGCTATTAGGAGTTAGGAATTACTTAAAATATTTTTATTCAGGCTTTCTGGCACTCATAATTTTCTTTGGCATGCACTGTCTTGGAAACTACATGCATAAATAGTCTAGTGGAAAATGGCAAGTCATTCTTTCCTACTGCAAGTAAAATGCATGTTGGAAAAGATTAGCTCCATTAACTACAACTCCTCCTGTCAAAAAGATAAAGATAAAACTCCTCAAAGCTCATGTTTTATTTTTTCAAGTGAGATTTCTCTTCCCTTTACAAATACATGCATGTTGTAGTTCCTATGTATCTGTAAATATGCAGAGGAACTCCGTGTCCAGTTCTGGACAGCTCTGGGCTCCTCAGCACAAGAAAGACAAGGAGCTACTGGAGAGGGTCCAGTGGAGGCCACAGGAATGGTGAGGGGTCTGGAGCATCTCTCTTATGAGGAGAGACTGTGAGAGCTGCCCCTCTTTAGTCTGGAGAGGAGAAGGCTGGGAGGGGATCTCATCAATACACATAAATATCACAAAATTGGGTGCCATGAGGATGGTGCCAGGCTCTGCTCAGTGGTGCTCAGCAGTTTCAGCATAATGTCATCAGCACTCTTCTTGAAGTGCAAAGTGTTGGACAATGGCAGTCAATAATGGCATTGAGGCTACAGTTCAATTTACTGGGAATTTCCTCTGTGAAAAGATGAGACAGTCCAAGTAAATTGGCTGCATTAATGTATGTTGAACATGTAAAGCCAGTGCAGGTAGACATCTGTGGATTGTCTAAAGATATCAATTTGGGGTTTTTTTTAATGGATGTACTTCCTTGCTGTGCACCCAGAGATATGAACTGTAAATGTTATCAGATGTTTGAAACATTTTTTATTGGTAAAGATTTGTAGTTTTTTAACAGATTAACTTCCATTCTACCACCTTTTCCTTGAATGCAGAAGAAGCATTTGCATATGAATGTAAGAATAATGTTTTTCATTGTGTCCTCGCCTGTATTCTTTTATCTATTGATCTGAAAAATTTAGGAATTTCTGTCCTTGTAACATTACCTGGAATTGGATTAGGAGCCAAGAACCCACTGATAACTTAGAATCAATTTCTAGCCAATTTTTGAAAGAGAAAAGAAAAAAATTCTAACAATTTATCCTTTAACCCTTCTTCAGATTCCCTAAAGTTCTGGGGCTATAACAGTCAGATCTGCTTTTTGTTTGTCTCAGGGTAGATTTAACACATCCCTTAGCATATATCTCTAAGGAAGGAAACCTTCTCCCTGATATTTTTAATCTTTCCTTATCCATCCAGTTATGGGCTCCACAATGGAGTCACTGAAGATGAGTCAGTTGAATGATGTTCACAGGGATCTGGAATTTACTGCCACATGCAACAATTTTTTCAGCATAACCAAAATTGTCAATCTGTGTGGGGTGGCAGGATTTTGATGACTTGAAGAACCTCTAACAGTTGAGTAATTCCTTACTGAAATTTTGCAATTTCTGATAGTCCAACTTAGTTCTCCCTTTGACAA